GCATCTAGATGGCAGCTTCCTAGCTTTTAAAGTCCCAGTCACTACTCGCCAAAGTAGTAGGTGGAACAATGTTTTGTTAGGTTAGCATTTTGTCAGTAGAGATTTATTCTCATCTATGGGCTTGCAAGTATGTATATGCATTATATGCACTTTAATCTACAACAGTTTTTACAATTAAGAACAATACTGTGCTAGACTGTACTAGATATATTAAATGAGATAATGCATATGAAAGCAACTAAATTCATGTACAATGTTAAGCATTTGAATTAGTTCCTGATCTCCAAAAGCTTATGTTAAGTGTTGTCACTGAAATACTTGTGAGAGTTACATAAAACAGCATCATTAAGTCAATGAGTGGTAGAAAGTCAGTGCTATAGAAGGAAATGGAAAAGTGAGGTGATTAGGCTGGAAGACTAAAGTTTCACGATGTAGACCTGGAAGAATGCTATCTATTACCAATCATATAGCTACTATACGTTCCTTATTCCCAAAAAGATTTACTGCAATTTACAAAATGAGGAAATTGGGACAAAGGGAAAATGAGAACAGAAAAGGCAAAAGCCCCAGGACACACAAATGCATGCTATGAAAGGCTGTAGGTTTGTTGGGACTGGGTCATAAATTTGACTTGTAAGCTACTTGGCAGGTGACTTGTCAACTATATTCACAGCCTCTGCACAGCTACTGCTGAGGATCTTGGGATCTTCATAATGTTTTCAGCAACATCTTTAGCTGAGTTTCTCAGGGGCCACTTCTTATTATACCCTAAATATAGAGAGGTAGTTTGATGCCATTATTGTAAAGCCCTAACACAGTGGCCAAGGGCTCGTTTAGCTTACCCCAGACAAGAATGTCAGTTAGATGCCTGATTTTATGCTCAGGAAGTCAAACTGGAGCAGAGTTGGCACCTTTTTATTTAAGGTAAGGAGCACAAAAAGAAAGGAAGACTAAATGGAAGCCCACCTCAGCACACAGAGGTGTGCAAAGGAGTTCAGAAAAGCAGGTTAGGAATGGTCATATGTAAGGAAGAGTTTAGGCCACATGCTAGGCACATGGACCTATGCATCAGCAAAGTCTGCCATCCTAAAGGTTGAGTTGGGGAAAAACCATAGGTCACAATAATTGCCCAATTTATACATGGTCACTGTGCACAAGCACTTTTTAAGGATCACCTAATGAAATAATTGAAAGGCTAATTACCGTAAATAGCTCTAATTTAAGCCTCACAAAATTCATTTTCAAGGGATTGGTTTGTGTTGATTTAAGAGTATTTACTCTCATTCCCCCAAAAAGTATAGTGATACTAAGTCACAACAAACAGTATCAAGTGTCCTGACTTGAGTTGATGATTTTGTGGCATGTAAGGACACAATTAACTAACCTGAAGGCTTTTTGGCAAAATGGTATTTTTCCTGAGTGAATTGATCCGTAGCCTTTCATCTGCATATTCATAAGCCATTTTCCGCCTCTTTACATCCCGCAACATTTTCCAGTCCACGTAGTAACCTCGAACTTGGCCTGAAGCTGATGAAGGAACCATCTAAAGGACAAAGACAAGGAACAAGTGAAGGCTAGTCAGACTCAGGCTCAGCCAGTGTTCCCTAATCTTGTAATCCTCTTTCAATCACTATTTATGATCTACTATGCCAGGAATG